TTTTCCATCCATTCATTCCTTCGGACATTCATTCCTTCATTAACTCACTCATTCTCTCATGAATTCCCTCTTTCCTCCTTTCCTAGGCTGTAGCGTTTGTTCTAGCAGCTGAAGTCCACTTATCATTATACTTCTAGAAGACAGAAATCATTCCCTGGGAGCTCCATCTTTTTTCCTACCCAACGTCTCAAAGCCCTGACACCACTGCCCATTCTCTCCTTTTTTACTCCAGTCTTTAAAAAACAGGAACTTCTTCCCAACGCCCACCGCCTCTATTTCCAACTTAGATCGATTCCCATTCCCTCCGATTTCCTTCGTCAATGAATCAATAAACAAGCATTTCTCGAGTGGCCGGCCTCCTGTGTGCCAAGCACCGTTAAGGGTCAGGGATAAAGATAAAGATTAAATTCCCTGCCTTCTGGGAACTTACATTCTAACCGAAGAGACAACACGCACGTATACAAGGATAAACAAAATAGAAACAAAAAGTAATCTTTTTACACTAGGGGAAATCGAGGAAGGTTTTTCATAGGAGATGAAGCTTGAGCTGAGCTTGGAAGGGAACTTAGAACCAGAGGAGGGAGCGCATTCCAGGCACCTGGGGCAGCCCGTGCAAAGGCTCCAAGACCCAGTTCTAATACCCTGGGATGATGGTAGTGGGTCTACGATATCTTACTAAGAAATATGCCTAAATATCAAATAAAATAAATAATAAATTTAAATAAATAAAAATAATGAAATAATGAAAAATTTTTAGAGGGGCGGTCGAAGATCTACAATGAAGCCATTTTGGACTCTGCACGTACCCATAGCCCAAAATTGGGATGGAGAAGAGTCATGGAGTCTCCCTCTCTCATCCTCATTCTCTCTCTCCCTCATCTAGGGACCGAAAGGACAACAACCAATGGGAAGGCAGCTCCAGCCGCGTCGGCCAGCGATTGGGCGGCGACGCGGAGGCAGCTAGAGAGGTGGGGAGAAGACGCAGCCTTAGAGCATCACTTTCGGCGCTACCCCAGACGTCACTTCCGGTGGCTAGGCGCGGATCGGTACGACCAACGGACCGCGGAGCACCATGCCCAAGTGAGGGGGAGGCTGAGAGGAGGGCGCGCCGGGGCTCCGTGCGGGGGCGGGGGTGGGCTCGGACGGGAGTGGGGCCCCCGAGTCTGCCCGGGAGACGGTGGGGGAAAGGGAGAGGTAGGGCTTGCTCCAAAGAAAGGCCCTCCACCCTCCTTCATTCCCTCTCCCCTCCCCTTTTCCTCCTCCTTCCATTGCTCCCGCATCCCTCACTTCCCCTCCCCCTCCTTGTCACGGACTCGCCCCCCCTCCCCCAGCTTCTCTCCGACCAGTCTGAGAATTGGCAGGGAACCTCCGGCCCAAACGTGACCAGAAGCCCCGTTACATCGGACTCACAACCTGCGGACGTTCTTGCTTTGAAGACCAAATGCGAAAGAACTCACTACTTCCTGAGGCAGTCCATTCAGTTTCTCTGGCCAGCTCTGTAATTGTTAGGAAGATTTTATTTTATTTTATTTTATTTTATTTTATTCCCAATCGAGGATAAATTCGTTTCTTTGAAACTTCTACCCATCCATCCTGTTTCTGGCCTCTGGGCCAAATACAGCAAATCTATCTCTTGACAGTCCTTCATGGACTTGAAGATGGCCGTCACATCCCTTGTTAAGTCATTCCCCAGTTTCTTGAAATGAACCTGTTAGGTCTCAACCTATCACCATCCTTGTTGCCTTTTTTTTTACCCCGAAGAACTTACCCTTCCCAAAATGTGGTGCTAGAGACTGAATACATGTGTGTTTCAAACAAGTGGGATAAAAAAGATCAACACTCTAGACCTGGATGCTCTACCTCATAATGTGGGCTCAAATTTCATTTATTGGCTGTCTACTAAGACTCCCCCAAACCATTTGTTTTTTTTTCAGAGGAACTCCTGGTCTGATTATGCCTCTCCATCTTGTACTTGTGAAGTAGAATTTTTCAATCCATCAATGAACATTTTAAGTGCCTGCTACATGCCAGGTACTGTGCTAGGCATTTGAGGAGCTAAAGACAAAAGTGAAGCTGTCCCTAACTTCAAGGAGTTTACATTCTATTGAGCAGACATATGTACATATATGGGTATATACAAAGTAGATAGAAGGTGTTTTTTGGGAGGAAGGCATTAGAAACAAAATGAATTAGGTTTGAAGGAATATTGGGATTCTAAGAGGCAGAGGTGAACAGGGAGTATAACACTATTTTCACTATTTTTCACTATTAAATTTAATTTTGTTTGATTTGGCTTCACCTTCTAGACAGAAATATTTTTGCACCATAATTCAGTCATCTGATACGTTAAGCTATCCCTCCTCCCTTTGTATCAACTGCAAAATTTGAAAGCATGCCATTTATACTTTTGTCTAAGCCATTGATAAAAGTATTAAGCTGCACAGGACCAAGGATACTGGAGTACCCCTCTGGAGACTTCAGTTTGCATGATCTGAATGAAGGACGTGGGGAAAGTTATTGATGTCATCATCACTCACAAGTGTTCCCCTGCCAACTGTGCCTAATGCCGTTATTTATCTGACCATAACCTCATTCATTGTCTCTCTCTGCTTACCCCCTCCTAAATCTTTCTTTGTCTTCCCTGCAACCACCTGTCACTCCATCCCCGTCTGCATTCCTGCATCATCAGTCTTTGCTTCCTTCAAAATCTTAACTCTTAAGTTAACCAATTCAACTTTAGACTGTATTCTACCCTTATCTTATTGCTATTCATCTTTTTTTAAAATGCCAGCTCTGGGTTACTCCCACCATCCATCTTCTTTGCCTCTTTATATGAATTCCTGAACTTCAACAGAGGAAATTACATGGTTATTCTGACTGGGTCTGTTACAAATATATATAGTCTCAACTGAGCCCTCAAACTCCATGCTAGTCCTTTTACTTTTCCTTGTTTAATTTTCTTTCCTGCTCCCCTTTGGCTTCTATTCCAAATTTTCTCTTCTTCCCTTAAGCCATCTACAACATCCCCCCCTTCTTTCATCAGAGGACTTCATCAAATACTGAAGTGAAAAAGTTGAGGCCAATCATTGGTAGCTCCCTCTTCCCAACTCTATACTCCAAATCACTTAAACATCATTTCCCACTCCCTTGTTCCTTGCTCCAGTATTGGAGGAAGTCCTTCTTGAATATACCAACCCCTCTATTTCTTGTTCAACCCCTTACTTCTCCTTCAGGAGTTTCCACTTTAATCATTCTGCCCCCTCTCTCTGTAATTTCTCACTTTATCCACTGATTGCCTTCCTGCTGCCTTCAAAGATGGTCAGATATTCCCCTATCCTTAAAAACTTCCCTGAATTCTAACATTCCCTCAAATTATAGCCTTATACATCTTTTGTTTTTCACAGTCAAACTCCTAGAAAAAAAAACTGTCCTACATTCATTGCTTCTACTTTCTCATCTTGTATTCACTTTTCAACCCCAGTGAAAATTTCTCTTCCCAAGGTCATTAATAATGACCTATCAATTTCTATATCCAGTGGCCTTTTATTAGACCTTATCCTTGTTGACCACATCTTCCCCCCCTTTGGTTTTTATAGCACTGTTCTCTCCTGGTTTTTATCCCTTTTTGATTGCTCCTTCTTAATCTCCTTTGATAAACCATCGTCCTCATCCTACCCACTATGTGTAGGTGTATGTGAGGGTTCTATCTTCGTTCCTTTTCCTTCTACATTCTTCTTTTGTGGTCTTTTAGCTCTTGTAGGGTAACTACCTCTATACAGATGATTCTGAAATCTATATATCCAGACCCAGTCTTTTCTGAACCCCAGTCCCCATACTACATACTGCCTATCTGACCTCTCCAACTAGATATCTTATAGGTTTTTCAAACTCCACATGTCCAAAAAGGGAATAATGTTTTCCCCCCTCCCCCAAATCCCACATTTCTCCCTAACTTTTTCCTTTCTACTTAGGCTATCATCATTCTTCATTTTAACCAGGTTTGCAACCCTGGTACTGTCCTTAATTGTTCCATGCCATTTACCTTTCATGTCCAATCAGTTGCTAAGTATTGTTTATTCTGTCTCTACAGTATATCATGTATCAGTCCCCTTTTCTCTACTTACAAAGCCATTATCCTCTTTCAGATCATATCATGTCATCTAAACTGGTACTTCTAATCTCCCATCCTCTAGTCTCTTTCCTCTCTAATCCATCCTCTGTATGACTGCTAAATTGATGTTTCCAAAGCATAGACAGCTAAATATGTCACTCCCTTGCTCAAAGAGCTCCAGTGATTCTTTATTGCTTCTAGGACAGGGGTTCTTAACCTAAGGACTTCAGAACCAAATTAGTGTGGCTAGATTTCAGGGGGTCTATGCACTTGGACTGGAAAAAAAAATTACACCTTTATTTTCATTAACCTCTAACTGAAATTTAGCATTACCTTTGATTGTGAATTTAGGCAACAGACATTGTTCTGAGAATGGGTCCAAATGTTTCACTAGGCTGCCAAAGACATCCAGGACACAAAAGAGGTTAAGAACCCTTGAATCTAAGACAAAATAAAGACTCTTTTGTTTGGCTTCTGTCCATTTTTCCAGGTTTATTGCACATTATTCTTTTACACACCCTACATCAATGCAAACTGGCATGCTTGCTGTTTCTTGTTCATGGCATTCCCTTTCTTACATCTGTGCCTTTAAACAGACTGTCTGTCACCCACGCCTGGAAAGCACTGCCCCCCTCCCTCACCTCTGCCTCTCAGAATCCCTCCTTTGACTCAGAACTCAGCTCAAATGCCACCTTCTACAAGAAGACTGTCCCCGATGCTTCCCATTGCTAGTACTTTCCCAAGAAATTACTTTGTATATGTTTTGTACTTAATTTTTTACATACCTGTTATTTTCCTCCAATAGACTGTAAGCTCCTCAAGGGCAAGGGCTATGTTGTTTATGTCTTTGTGTCCCAGAACCTTGCATATATTAGGCACTTAATAAATGCTTGTTGAATTTATGAATAAATAAAACCTCTTTCCAGGTTGATATTGAACCATTCATTAATGACTGTTTTTTGGATATAGCCATTAAATTATTCTGAATCTATTGTACTATTGTGTAGCCAAGTGGTCTCCAAAGTTTTTGATTGTGCACCCCTATCAGTAAAATTATTTTTCAAGTATATGGGGGAGGTGGAGACGGTAGTGGATTTATGTTGGGAGGGATGGGACTTCCCCAGCTGCCGCTGCGGTCGTGGGTGCCCAGGTTTGAGTTAGGTTATGACTACCATGAAGAGCTGATGCTGAACTCGAAATGGGGAAGGTTGGGAGCTTGCACAGCTGTGGAAGTCGGGGGAGTAAGGGAAGTTTTGGATTGCTATGGGTGACAGGTATGACTGTGTTGGACAGATGCAGATGCCTGTGTTGGTTATAGCTGGGAGGGTAGCATACAACTTCTTTTCCCACCCTCTAGTTGATCACATTCTCCTTGATGGTCAAGCCATAACTCCCACTTTGGAGCATACTGGTCTAACCCACATCTCCAACTTTCCACAAGAACACTACAAGAGGTTTTGTCAAATGTATTTCCAAACTTATCTGCAATATTTCCTGATCTGTCAGTTTAATAACCTTGTCAAAAAAGGAAATAAGGTTTCCTTTCCTTCCTGCCTCTTCCTCCCTCCTTTGCCTTCCTTCTTTCCTTCCTTCCTTTTCCCTCTTCATCTTCTACATCCTTCTCCCTTCCTCTTCTCCTCATCCCCCTCCTCCTTGTCCTTTTTCCTCTTCCCCTTTACTTCACAGCAGGCAAGAAGAAGAGTGCTACTTCTCAGGTAGGGAATTAAATTCCTTCTCCAGGGCTCAGGTCACATGCCACGTCTGCCATGATCTCCCTCAGCTGGAAGTGTTCTTGTCCCCTACAATTTTTTGGGGGGATTCTTTGTCTAGATCTCTCTTTTGTCCCCATCACAATCCACCTTGTGTAGTCATTATTAGTGAACATTACATCTCCACAGGGCTCCCTCTCCCCCCACTATACTATAAACTCCTCATAGGCAGGGACCGTCTTGTTGTTTCATCTTTGTATCTGTAACAGTTTACTCATAGGAGGTGCTTAATCAGTGTTTTTTCGAATTGAACTAGAAAAAGGAAAAAGAAAACAAGTTTGTTTCAAAGGTTTTGCTTTCAGTCTGAATTGCTGAGCTGCCTGGCGTTACTGTTCAGGTGATTGTACCAGCTCTGACCCCTATAGCTGAGTTAAAGCAACTTATTATTGTTAACATAGTGGTGGCCATCTCTCTCCTTCTCCCCCACAGATTTTACTGTGACTACTGCGATACGTACCTCACCCATGACTCTGTAAGTAGTGTTGCTCGTGTGCTGTAGTTTGTACACCATGGGATGATGCAAAGTAAATTCTTTTTGCACAAAGTGTGCTGTCCTCCCCACCATGTTGTATACTCAGTGTCCCTGCACTATTGTGGCCTTTGAGTTACAGTGTTGCTCAAGAAGTTGCACTGAACTTGGAGATAGGAGGCCTGGATTCCTAAGTCCAGGTTTATGCCAGTTAGTAGCTGTGAGGCTGTGGACAAGGCATTTTCCCCTTTTTGGGCCTCAGTGTCCTCATCCTTTAAATTCACTTGCACTACCTACCTCACAGAGTTGTTGTGAGGAAAGTGCTTTGTAAACTGTAAAGTGTTACATAGATGTAAACTGTGATTGTTGATTTGGAGAAAGTCATTCTGGATTTTCCTTTAGTGATTTTATTTCCTATATCTACTCAATGTTTGTGCAGTTAAAGTAGTCTGTCTATAGCCTTTCAATAGGCAGAATTTTCTTGCGTAAGACTAAAAGTTGGATTTAGCAAGTATGGTTTTTGTGACAAGGAAAAAATTGGGAGAAACTGGAGAAGTGATTTTGTGAATGGTGTAGCAGTTGCTTTAAACTGTCAATCATGTTTTTGTTTGAGTCTACAAACTTAGATCCTTAGCAGTTGCCTTGCAAGTTAACTGTTTTGGAAATGATGAAGCCAGGGACCCTAGTTTGTATATTATAAAACTCTCTAATTGAATCATAGAAATCTTTATCTTCTGCCTTCCTCCTAGCTGAGATGTGATGTGAAGTGAACACCTTTTTCAGTAAGACACCAGAACACACCTAACCATTTCTGTATTGTTATTCTTCACTTGCTGTATTCTAATCCTATAGTTTTAGAAATGCTTCTGGTCAAGTATATTGTGTTATTTTTCATTATTGATGGCATTGTGAAATACTGTACAGTGGTTGCTCCTGTAGAGACTCTAGTTGTAAATATTCTTATAATATTGTTGTATAGGGATCCCCACTGAGAATACCAAGATCTGCCAGTAGATCTTAAACCATACCTGGTAGATCTTCAGGCTGCAGCTGGCAATATTCTTTCTTGCATGCTTTCATAATCTACATTCCCAGAGGGTAGGAGAACTCAATAGAATTACATTTTCTCCTATCAGGCCTTTATTGTTACATATACCTACTCACCTTCAAGTAGTTCTCCAGAAAAGGGTTGGAGACTTTTGTAATTTTGTTATTTTTAAATGATCCATTTGGGATACTGAACAATTGCTAAGGTGATTGGAGGAGCAGCTCCCTCAGGTGAGCTTAGAGTACCTTAAAGCAGTTCAGAACTGTAACATTTTTATCTTCTGACTTTGGGGACATTTCCGTAGGCTTGCTTTTCTTAGGGTAATCTTTTCTGTTACTTTGTGGCATCTAGTATAACTGTTGCATTTATGTGAACAGTGGTTTTAATGGCTTAGCATTACTGAAAAGACATTAGGGTCATTTTTGTATTTTGAGATTCTGTTACAGCTTTATCTGTTGTCTGTTGTGCTAGCACTGTGGAAACTAGGAAGGCAAATTGGGGAGCAGTGCTTGTAGTATTTAGTTTGACTTTGCTTCCATAAATGCAAAAGGACCGTGGGAATATTGGTGCAGTGCATTCAGATAGGCTATGTGACCTGTGTAATTGATGCGTTGGGATTTCTGACAGATATTTAAGATAACAGACTTGGTCCCTTAGAGAATATGTTGGGCACAGGAGCTTTTGGCAGTGGGCTGCTGTGCCAAATTTACATGAGCTATGTAAGCAATCCCTTGGAGAGGTGCTCCCAGCATAGGTGTCTTGCAATGGTCGGACTTTATATGATTTTTGGTTTTGCTTTTCTTAAAATCTGGGTGTGGCAAATTTCAACCTGGCATCTCTTTTATTTTGCAGCCATCTGTACGAAAGACACACTGCAGCGGTAGGAAACACAAAGAGAATGTGAAAGATTACTATCAAAAATGGATGGAAGAGCAAGCTCAGAGCCTGATCGATAAAACGAGTAAGGACCCATCCCTGGTTTCCTCTGGTCAGCTGGTACCTTCCTTCTGCCAGCTGCACCTGGCTGCATCTGCGTTATTGGGGGTAGTTACATCATGACTCAATTAGTAAGCATTTATTAAGCACCTACTATGTTCCAGGCACCATTCTAAGCCCTGGGGATGAAAAAACAGTCCAAGGAGCTTGTTTTCTATTGAGGGAAATAACATGTACACATATAAATAAATATAAAATATACACAAAATAAATACAAGGTAATTTTTGTAGAGAATAGAACAGAGCTAGCAATGGGGGTGGGGTGCTAAGGGGTACCAAAAGGCTTCATGTCCAGAGTTGAGTTTGAGCTTTGAAGGGAGCTGGGGATTCTAATAGGAATAGCGGTATGGAGAGAGGGACTTGGGGGAAAGCCAGTGCAGAGAATGGAGATAGGAATAGAAAGAGTAAAAAAAGTCATTATGGCTGAGCTGAAGGATAAGTGAAGAGAACAATGTGTAATAAGCTTGCAAAGATAGCTTGAAGCTACTTTGTAAGGACTTTACATGCCAAGCTATGATCCTAGTGGTAGTAGGGAGTTTTTTAAAGCAAGAGATTGACATGTCCAGACTTTTGCTTTAGGAATATATGTTTGGCAGATCTGTAGAGGATGGATTGGAAAAGTGAGATGCTTGAGACAGGGAGACCAGTTAGGAAGCTATTGCAAGAGTTAAGGCCAGAGGGCCAGAAATAGTGTAACCATGTGCATGGGGAGAAGGGGATGGCAGGAAAGATGTAGAGGTAGAATTGAAAAGACTTATTAAGTAGATTGAAAGGGTATCTTTCTGATTCCTAAGACTGGGCAAATAAATTGGATAGTTAATTATTGGTGATAAAGCATGCTGAGATCTTTCATAGCTGAAACACAAAAGAGAAAAGAAATTGGTAATTTAATCCAAATAGAATAATTTAGAAATTTCATTTGGATTTACTTGTCCCACTATCAAAGCTTTAAGAAATTGATCAGAAGGGAAGTAACAGAAGCATCAAGTAGTCCAAATTATGTTTTGAATGCTTATAGGTCTGTATTTGTGATTTTGTTGATTTTGGACACATCTGATGACTTCAGAGTCATCATATCTGAAACTAGTGGCAATTTCTAGTGCCAAAGCTTGGGTTCATATCTGGGCTCCAACAAAAACTAACTTGTAACTGTGATTGTCACTTAATCTTTCTGAGTTTCGGTTTTCTCATTGGTAAAATGAGGAAAATAGCAAATGCACAGCTTCTTGTGAGAAAAATGCTTGGTAAACTTTTAAATGATAGATGGATAGATAGACAGATGTATGTATGTGTATTGTATGTATGTATGTATTATGTATAGTATCTATAATATGTGTGTACATATCAATGTGGATTATTATTATCATTAAAGCATCAGAAGGAGTTAAAAGTTCTAACGTAAGTTAGTACTTGGAAGATCCATGGCTTTTGTTGGCCAGTCTCTCTATACATAGCTGAGAACTTTTTTCTGACTTTAATGTTAACTTTCCCCTCCTCATTCCCTGCCTCCTCTCGCTTTGAATTGTTTGAAAATTGCAGTTAAACTCTAAGCATTACAAGTTTATCATCTTTTATGAATTAAGCCTGACCTCAAGAAAAACTAATAAAAGTTAAGAGTGATACTGGAGGAAAAGAGAATCACAGGATGCTTGCCTGCTGCTAGGTGATACTCAACTCAAATGGACACTAATCTTTCTGACCATGAGCCCTTATTTCTGCCTTCTTTTAATATTATCACCTACTTTTCAATAAGTTTTAATTGAGGCTTGTTGTGTGGTAGGCACTGGTAGCAACTGAAATTACAAAAATGAGCTAAGGAATGATCCCTGTCCTCAAGAAGTTCACCC